TGCCATACATTTAACACCTTGTCCTCGGTGGGCAAAACCGTGAGCAACTAGGTTTGGTGGCACGAGAGGTTGAGGTTTTTGGTTGTTGGTTGGTGGTGTCGACTTAGTGGTTTAATCTGAGCTCGGTTCTTGGTGTTATTGAAGGCCCAAAATCAACTGGTATCTTATTGTAATGGATGATCTGTGGGATGCTGAATTCTTGGATCATATGAAAAGATTATTTCCAGATGACATAAATGGAAGTCGAATTATGCTGACTACTAGGATAGAGAACGTGGCTATTGATGCCAATTCTTGTCTACCTCTTCAACGCATGTGTTTCCTTAGTGAGGAAAAAAGTTGGAATTTACTTTGTGAGAAGGTATTTGGAGAATATTGTTGTCCTCCTGAACTCGAGAAAATTGGAATCAAGATTGCACAGAAGTGCCAGGGACTTCCACTTGCAATTGTTGTGATTGGTGGGATCCTGTCAAAGGCCGAGAAGAAAGAAGATTTGCAGACTGTAGTAAATTCAACTGGTAATACAGATGATGAGAAGTACTTAAGAGATTTTGTCTTTAAGTTACACTCACTTGCCTCATCATTTGAAAGCTTGTTTTCTTTACATGGGAATCTTCCTATAAGATTTTAGTATTCCTGTCTCCACACTCTTCAAGTTATGGGTCGCTGAAGGATTCCTAAAACCTTCAGGATCTAAAAGCTTGGAATATGTGGCCGAAGAGTACTTGTTGGATCTTGTTGACAGAAGTCTTACTTTGGTTCATGAGTACAGGTCTAATGGCAAAATTAAAACTTGTGGAATCCATGATCTCTTACGGGACATGTGCGTAAGAAAAGCTCGAGAGAAGAAGTTGTTTCAAGTTGCCAATAGGGTCCACATTTGTGTTGATGAAGGCTTTAGTCTGCGTCGCATAATTATCCATCCAAATACAGAAATTCTTCCTTCTGATGCAAAAAATAGTGCCAACTTCCCCAGTGAAGTCTATTTTATCTTTTGATAGGGATCTTCCTGATTCATTCATCGTCTCTTTAAATTTTAGGCAGATCAGAGTGTTGCACATGTTGAATGTGCAATTTTTTCATTTTCCTGCCAACATAGTCGAACTAGTTAACTTGAGGTACCTTGCTTACTTCCTGGGAGCTGATCGGCTTTTATCATCAATATCCCGACTTCAAAATTTACAGAGCTTGTTTCTTTGTTGTCAAGGGGATTCAATATATCTACCATCATGGAGGACGCCACTATTAAGGCATATCCGGTTGACAGTAGTAAACCTGCTTGATCTTGCAATAACTGAGGGAGGANNNTGATCTTGCAATAACTGAGGGAGGAAATTCTTATGTTCTCGAAAATCTTCAAACATTGTCCAACGTAAGAAATTTCAGATGCTCCAAGGAGGTTGTTAAAAGAATTCTGAATCTGAAGAAATTGGGAATCTTTTATGATGATGTATGGGTGAATTGGCCAGACTACTGTCTCAATAATCTCGTCAATCTTCATGAACTTGAAACATTAAAATGCAGCAGTTATTGGCCGTACCCATCTTTCTTGCAGAACCTCACTTTCCCTCCTTCGCTCAGAAAGTTAACTCTAAGTGGTTGGGGTCTGCCTTGGGAATCTATGACAATTATTGGTTTGTTGCCTAATCTTGAAGTGCTCAAACTGAAATGGAAACATGCCTTTTACGGGAAAGAGTGGAAACCAACTGAAGGGGAATTTCTTCGACTAAAATTCCTGCTGCTGGAATGCCTTGAATTGAAGGATTGGATTGTCGACTATACGCATTTCCAGGGACTTGAGCGTCTAGTCATTAAGAGTTGTAAATATCTGAAGGAGATCCCTTGTCGTATTGGAGAAATACTAATGCTTCAAATAATTGAGATGGATTGACTCTAGCCCTTCAGCCGTGACTTCAGCAATGCAAATACTAGAGGATCAACAAGAATTGGGGAATGATGTCCTTCGTCTTCATATTCGCAATAGTTTGGGAAGTTGAGATTCAGGATTGTCCACTCCAATACAGCAAGTTCATGTCCGGTACCCAGATAGTATAATGAACAAGATTTTTACTTCCTTCCCTTTAATACTATTCAATATTTAATCCTCTTTTCTATTCTGCATTGAATTGATTCTCTTCTCAGCTGTCTCAGTTATTGATGTTTGGAGTGCTTCATTGGATGTTGTCGATGATACATATGATTGATTGTTGCTGTCAAATGATATTTTGATATATAGGATTTCAATGTTGCTGATTGCTTTATTGAGTTGCCGATTCTAATGTGTAGCAACTGTAACTATATTATTAGTCAAGTATTGGTGATTTTGTGTTTCATTTGCTTCTCTTCTAGTTTCCCTCTTCTTTTTGTGCTATGCAAAGATAATAATACGAAACCAAAGAAGCAAAACTCGGGCAATTTCAAGCTCTATATGGTGATCGATTATGGTCAGAAAGTCGATCAATTTGGTGGTTTTGTGTGCATCTGTGAAACTGCCAATTTGTCTGTTTTGGAAATCGTTGTTAATTTTTGGAGTACCATTGCCAGGAATTAGATAGGCAACGAAGTAAAAGGTTACTTTTAAGCTTCTTCTTTTTTTTCTTTCTTTTAGCGAACGTAATTTCAAATGTTACCCCAGGAAGCGACTTTCAAGCATAGCCACAGGCTAGAAAAGACGTTGGATCTTGTTCAACCGCTTTCCTCTTGCTTCATCAGGCAATGCATGCACGTTGGCTCCATTTTTACCGCTTCAATCTCATTAACCAGCCATGGAGCTTATGGTTGCCACTGTGAAGAGTGTTAAGCCCTTTGAAGCCTATTCAAGAGGAACATTTGGTAAAATTGGAACGATACATAGAAGATTAATATAGCAACTGCAAAAGAATTACGCACAAATCAGAGGAGAGATACAAGATGTTAAAGGCATTCTTTATATAGGCCTGCCTAAAAAACAAGTGAAACTTGTCAAGAGTGATGAGTTATACCATGATATACCCGCACAACTTTTCCTCACAAGAGGAAAGAAAATTGAAAAAGTTGTTCACCGAGGTTGTCGTGGAAATTCCAAGAACAAGATACGCGGCCCATAACCATAAATTAAATTGTCATCTTCCACTGTTGCTTTCTTTACACCAATCGAAAAACACAGAGATCCATACCACCATCGACAAATTTACACAGCTCATATTCTGTCCAGCGACTCCAGCCAATCCACGCTCTTTCGTGCCTTCTCTAGCTGATGATCGATACTCCTTCGAGCCTTCTCGCGATATTCCACACTCCTCCGAGATCTTACTATCTGGTCGAAAGATACTCTCAACTTCAAGAGCTTGTCATTAGAATGAAATTTATACTCATAATTTGTCATTTTTTCGGGCCTATCAGTGCTTCATCTAGGTTTCTCCCTCCAGTCCGTGCTCTTTCTCGGAGCCTCAAAACAGTGGGTACTCCTCCTGGAATGTTCGGGCCAGTCTATAATTCTCTGGAAAGTGTTCCTCTGGGAGGGTAATTTTTCAACTGTAGAAACGAACTTCTTTAGGTGCCTAATATATTCGGGATGTAGTTCCAAATCACAATGGTTTCCACCATTTAGCCATAACTGTTCAAATTTCTCTTGGGATAGTTCGTAAAGTTGTTTCCCATGAGAGCAATCGACACCATCATCAGCAGTGCCCTGCACAAAAACATGAAAGTGAAGTACACTGAATAAAATTAATTAGCTACTTCTCAGCGGGATTTCGGGTGCTAAGATACAACTGAAGGAATGGGTTGGTACAAATATTACCTCATGAGACTGCAGTTGCTATGAAAAGCCATTGGAGTGATGATGTACAAGATTGAATATTTGTTATATGCAATCGCAAAGAACAAATATACTTACATGAATAACCAGAATACGACACTTCACCAATGGAATTTGGTCTGCACAACACCAACATAAAGTCACGTCCATAAACACAGAAAATGAAGACTTCTATTAAAAAGTATGGAATTAATGTTGTTTCACAGGATTCGAGACTCTAAAGTCACCAAAACAAGTATGGCAAGCAAAAATCTTATTAAGAAGCATAATTGAATTAATCACATAGATAAGTAACCAAACACTTACCTTATAAATGTCAAACCAGTATGGACGTCTCGCAGGATACACGACTCTTAAGCCTGATAGAATAGCACTATGTAAAACTACAGCAAAGTCGAGGCAAACGGACTGCAAGATCTAAAGTCGGACCACCCCCAACAGATTGACCATATAGGATGATGTCTTCTTGCTTAGTCCCATAGCTCTCTTCAAGACACTTGTATGCAGCTTCGATATCTGCATAAGTATTGTGCTCACTTATCAATAGGTGCTCTAAGGCTATAATCACTTGGCGCATCTTTGGCCAAACTTAAAAGTTTATAAGCGAGTAAGTTTTAAAGTAACAATTAATTTATATGTCAAAGTTGGAAAGGAGTTACTCATTTTGAGATTAACTTTTACTTTATTGTCAAAATAAGTAACTTTTTTTGTTTACAAGTAAGAAAAAGTAATATATCCAAATATGTTTGGAAAGGAATAAGTTAATAATGTGATAAAATGAGATTTTCCATCAATAGTAACCTTTCCCAATGACTGGCCATAACCTGAGGAGTCATACCTGCATAAATATCAATGAGCATAAGGCAGATTATTATATGATAATCAATGTTCTAAAAAGCGTAAAGCGTGGGTAAGCATGGAGGCCAAGCTTCCAGCTTTACGAGCCTAGGCGGGCCTAGGCGAAGCTTAGGCGTAAAAAAACATTTTTTTAATTTTAAATTTTTAATCATTGT